AACACACGCCTCTAAGTTATTTCGTTATAAATCTATAGTTTTCACTGCATCATAAAACTGACATTTTTAAGTCGTTGCAGATATTCCAGTCTACAAGAACAGAGTGAAATTCTATTTTTAAGGATCGCATCCTGTTTCATATATACAATGAACATACACAATTTTTATCGTCAACGCAACAGTGCACCTGAAGATGACGCGTTTGAGGTCGAAACGTGTAATACGTGCTATATAAGTAAATAAATCATAAAACATTGTTGCTTTGACGGTTAAAAATTGTATATGGTCAGAATAGAGTGAATTTTCAAATGGTAAACAACCCCTCTTTGACTTATTGATTTCTGAATTTATAACCTACGCAGTTTCCCTTGTTATTGACAATCAATGCATCAGACAATTGCAGATGTAAACTGCAGACTATCGGAATTGGAGTCCTTAAGAGTGCTAGTCGATCTCATGATTGTATCGATTCCTAATATAAATTTCATTAAAATCCATTCACTAGCTTTCAGATACAAATTCTAACAGAAGATCAGATAGAATATCCATTATTATGCGTTCACTTGATGCACTTTTTGTTTCATATGGTAAAATCTATCCCTGTAACAGACCGCGAAGGCCCATAGGGTTGTGAGGCTTCCACATTTTCTATACAGTCGGCTAACAGATGGCAGTGAGTTTGTAAGCCTTAGCGCCAGCCGCTCTTTACCCCACAGGAAAATTCCTGGTACTTATTTCTGTTATCAGCTGAGTCGACCCCAGGGCCATAGTGCGGCTGGAAGGATTAGATTAAGTAACGTCATCAGTAATCGAACCCGCGACCTCTCGGCTTGTAACATAGAGCCTCAACCAACTACGCTACCGCGTGCCCCATATTTCATATGGTATATAATCGAAAGTTTTTTGTTTTTCGCCTGAACTGCCTCTCATGTAATTGATTCTCTTCCCGTTTACTACACTGACATCTCTGTCTTGTCGTTTACATAATAAGGACCCGATCATGTGTAGCATGTTATGTAAAACGCGGAATACAAATTAAAGAACAGTGCAGAGCCTTTAGCTGGGTAATTGAGTGTGGGTCAAGCTCTGGTCCGTGGGAATAGGATAACAGATGCTGTGCAGTCGCATCACTTTGAAGTGTGTACACGCACGGAAACACACGCGGACTCGCGTTCTCGCGTCACTAAGCGTAGGCTTACCTACATATATATACACATCTTATAGTGAAGGAGTATTTCTGTGATCTGTGTTCGACCTCTGATCTTTCGCTTCAACCCACGCTTCTTTAGTTTAGAGAACGAGTTCAGGGGGAAAAAAAATGAAAGTCCCCATTTCGAAATCTTTTCGTCACGCGTTGTTAAGTGCTTACGGGGGTGGGGAATGTCTGACAGGTGGTGAACACGTGAAGGGGGAGTCAACAGGTGATAGGTTGGTGGACAAGTGGATAATTACATTGCACAAAATTCCTGATTGAATTCAGACACAATATTTTTATTGCGAGAATTTGTTACATATAGATATACGTAAATTAGTGACATAATGTTTTCTTATAATTAATAGAACCAAGCTTGTAAGGCAAGGTAAAGGTGTCCCTGTGAAAAAGGTAAAGCTATCCCTGTAACAGGCCGTGAAGGCCCATAGGGTTGTGAGACGTTTTCTAGACAGTCGGCTCATAAAGTTGTCCCTGTGCTTAATTAATTAAGCTTTCACAGTGGCCGCACCGTCTAAGGCATGAACCGTCTTCACCCGCTTGAAAATTGGGATCGTGTGTTTGAATCCCAATCAGATCATGGATATTTTTTGCGTTTATTGTATTTATGTTGTTCTGTGTGTAGGTAGAGACCTTGCGACGGGCTGATCCCCTGCCCAAGGAGTCCTACCGACTTTGTGCAGGATTAAGAATCCGGAATAGAGGCCAAGGTCCGAAGAAGTATAGTAGAACCAACCACTCGACAACATATGGTCTGTCTGACAGGCAGCGTCGTGAAATAAGTTACAGGCATAGAAATATTTTCTTTTATAAGGAACCAAATGATAGACTAAGGTATAGTTGGAAAGGCAAGATTAGAATATCATCACCATCATCATCATCATCATCATCAGTAATCTGTCAGACGACAGGTCCACAGTCTCTTCCAAAACAGTTCCTCCACTTAAT